ACAGTCCGAATACTCTCAGCCTAGAGGGTAGCCCCAAGCGCATTATTGCTCCTCGAGGCCGGCCAACCTCGAGAGTAAGAGGTGGTGGTCGCCATGTCAACATTCCCGGCCAGGTTGCTGTTGATGCGAGCCCAACTGGAGTGATCGATACAAGACACGATTCTGAGGATAGTAGTGCACCACCTGAGGCAAAGATGGTCAAATTAGAGCTACCACAAATCTCTTCCAGCTGGTTAGAAAAAGAGACCAAATGTATCATCACCCATCCACACAAGTCGCCCCCTTCCGTCTCTGATAAAAACTTGAACGAAAACTCTGAGCCCAGTTTACCGGATCAGACTTCTCTTTCTGTGGACCCGATGGCGACAGACTCTTTAGATTCACCACAGGAAAATGAAAATATAATGAGCATTCCCGGACAATTTGATGTTCCCTTTAAGCCAGAGCATCATATTACTTTGACAGAATCCCCTTTAAACGGCACCAAACCTGAGATATCAGAGCCAGGAGTTGACACGCTTTAGCATTTCAATGGCATCTGAGCATCAATAATCGATTATGCTTCCCTACGTCCAAATGAAGGTCCACTTTCGTAGTCCTAACATTTAACTCGCTGTATTTATTCTCTAAATTAAATTATTCTATCCAATGCTCCACTGCTGTACAGTCCCCGTCTGTTCCCTTGCCTTCTCGTCATTTACTAATTATTTTTCGATATTAAATTTTTCATTTATTTAATGTTTATTCTATATTCCCATTTCACTCTTTCATGGCCGCCACTACTATTGACCAAGCTATCACAATAAGAGGAAACTTTAACCATAAAGCCAATTTCACTTTCCAGCAAGTGACTCCTTAAACTGCTCGCTTTCAATAAGAAATCCTAATAACCCAACACAAAAGGCAATTGAAGGAACTATCATATTGAAATGAAAAAAATTGAGTCAAAGCTATTGAAATTATTAAGCGTGTATGTCATCAACGTAGGATTAAAGCGCGGTGGAGGTTATAAAATGGGGGTGGTGTACATTTTACAAAAATATCATATTTACGGTAGGATGCTTGGTGCTTCTCAGTACTTTAATTCAAATTTATGACTGCTTTATCGTTGTATGATCAGCATAGAGCAAACCTGGATCATATCTTAATATTAACAATAATAGGATCATAAATACGTCTTGCTTATCGATAATATAAAATACAAAAAAATTCAACGTTGTAATGGGTGTTATATCTGAGACAATAGAAAACGAACATAAAATGAAGTGCAGAGATATTTAATTTTGGTTCCGACACTGAAACCTTGGGGAAAAGATAGGTAAGCTAAAACAATTCAAAGACCAATATTATTAAATGGGAAGCAAATAATCATCTTAATGACTGTAAGAATATAAACGACAGTAGCTATTTGAATTTCACAATTAAACCGGACTTAACTTGCGTGCTCGTGAGTGGGGCTGATGTATGCTAAGGAAGTAAATGATATCACAGCTGTCTCCGTAAACAAATAAACAAGCTGATGCGGCTGCAGCCTCCTCTTGGTGCTGTCGTATCATCCGGTCCTTTGCTAGTCGGGTGCTCCGACGCTCCTCCAGTAACTCATGCAACCGGCTAATGGCAAGAGGACCAAGAGGTGGAGGATGAGGCAGT